GGTTGTCATACTGGTGGCTCTGGCACTGCTGGCTGGTGGTGGGACTACTTCAGGAAGGACTCAGGGCTAAAAACAAGCATTTTGATTAAATGAGCCAGAACTAAAACAGGCCTTTCACTGTGGAATGTGTTGACGGCTCTTTGGTTGAAATGACTCAAATGTCACCCCTTCATTACTGCTACATACTAAATGTACTACTGTACTGAACATGAGAGAGAAAAGTCAAGATCAGATCGAGGACAAACAAGTTTATCATCTGGACATGAGTTTTATTTGTTTCTACTCTTATTACTTGTCATTGTGTCCCACAGGTCAACGAGAGACGACACACTCCACTGAAAGGACAGTCTTCTCTCTAATATTGTGAATATTCTGTTGTAGCCGGTAGCAGGGTGACGGATTGTCTTTCCATGAACACAACCACTTTAGAAATGTACTTTAGAAGGTATTCGTTGAAACCTTCTGTAGAATAGCCCTTATAGGAAGTAGCCTGTACTGAAGAAATGTTTGGGAAAACATAACATCATTTTGATTTCTAGTTGATGATGGTGTATGCGCTGACCTGACTACAGGTAAATGGGCTGTTTAAAAGTGACGTTCACCGGCCATATGAATACATTTGCACTGCCTGAATGTGACAGCTGTCATAACGCAGGCTCAAAAAACTTTTAATAACAGTTCTGGAGATTCCCATTGTTAAATCTTAGCATCTTACTACTAGCACCCAGACACTGGTGGCCAGGCTCACCAACACAACCCTCAGCCTTTGTCTCAGCCGTTCAATGACTCACCGTCTCTCTCCACCAGATGGGGACGAGTCCTTGGTGGCACCAGTTCACTACACCTTGAGTATGGGTGAGACTCAACAAATGATTAAATCCAGGTGAGTCCTGCTCTGCTGGACTGACTCTGTCCAATAAACTTGATGAAGTCTGGTTTTATTGGAACTCAGTTTTAGGCTTTGCTATGTGAAAATTCTCCCATTAATTTGATTGAACTTGTTTTCACAACAGTATGGAGCGACGCTGCTGCACCAGGTCACGGTGCAGGTACTACTGAAGGTCCTTTATAACAGAAGGGCATCGTCTGACTTCTACAGTCAGTCAGGCTGAACTTAAGGTAATACACTGTCTCTTTGCTCTGTTTGTTTGTAAAGGAGAATATTTTACTAGTTAAATGTGAGTTGAGCAGTGTGTTAACCAAAGTACTGTCTGTTACTACAGATATAACCTGAGAGTAGAGGCGACCGCTGAGGACGAGGAAAGACTGTTAAACTCTGTAAGAACTCACACAGTCATGGCTGTAATATTATTTTAATGTAGTAGCTTTTATATTATTTGACTTAAATATCATATTTAATCACCTCTATGTTAGAGTCCAGCTTCTGTTGATGCCTTTGTGTGGATTAATTTAACAAAAGTCCAAGCAGAGTGTAGTGAAGATGCTGTTTGCCACAGAGCCAGAACTTTAGTCAGTCCAGTCAGAATGTGTTGGTGCACTGACTGTTCTGTGGACAGGTCGGACTGTAAAGCTGTTTTATTAAACGGTCCTCACCAACGTCACCGTCACAGCTCAGCTCTTCAGGTTTTAGATGCACACACTGCGGTTGCCTACCAACACGATGCAGTAACACACACTGACTTTATGAACAGCAGCTGCATTTCCACTGTCAGTGCAGTAGTAGCTAAACATCAATATCACTGGATTTTAATGGTGTAAAAACATGACGTTGCCTATAAATGTAAACACGTTTCTGACCAACAGCAGGTGGAAAATGGAAATAAAGCAACAGTCTCAGGTTTGAAAATGTATTTTTGCATCCTAACATTTATACATGTGCAGTTGGAGCAGTACATTTCACTGCAGACATTTCAGTTGTGACCTTAAAGAAACAATGAACTCAGTGTGACAAACCATTTAATAACAGTGAAGATCTGCTGGTGGAGGAAACGACCTCCTGTACTGTAGTGGGATTAGCTGGGTAGCTCAGTGCTGCCCCCCAGAGGCTCAGTGTGGTCGAGGGCTAGTGATACTCTAAACCACAGTATGATACAGTGACACAGTTTGTAGTTTCCTCTGTCAAGTCAGGTTGGAGCTTTTAGATGCAGATGTATTAAACTGGGAGAATGTGAACAGTTGAGCTTGTTACTTTTGTGGAGACTGTAGAAACACAAGACAGCCAGGACACTGTGCAGCTGAGTCCAGAGTCCAGTTTTACATAAGTCATTTCAAACACTTGTTTCCAAGTCTAAAATAAAAAACAGACACTCGCCTCCTGGATTTCCTGCTGTAATCTGGTCCCACTCAGCCTTAAAGGAAACACAGGCCATATGAGACTAAAGGACACGAGAGACTGGATCATTTCAACAATATGAAAATTTAGTGTGAGCTCAAATCACGTTTCTTCTGGGACCCAACACATGGCACAAAAGACTTAACTAGAAATTATAAACATGCAAGCATATAAAAATTAATACATAAGAAAGCTGTACATTCACCTAATTTTGTGTGCACTGTATGTACATGTCCATTTATACTGTGGGTGTTCAGGCTGGGGGAAAGAAGCAGTTTGTGGGGGGGGGGGGGCCC